AGTACCAGCACAACCACGCACGCAAGTCCATGCAAATCGTACAGCGGCACTCCCAATTCACAGGAAACTTTAGTTTTCTCGACGCTTCGCTTACAAAGCTATGAGATTGTGTGAAGAAGGGGGCAATAGCTTCATCCGTGGCCACCACTAGCCTGGCAGTGTTTACCTTCCCGGGTGTGTTTGGGTGCACCCTCATGCTCATGCTTCTGACCCATGCCGACTTCTGAAACGTCAGTGGCATTTTCGGGTCCAGCACGCACCATCAGCACATCCCGTGGAATCTGTGCCTGGAATCAACGGCGGCAGCAGCAAGTTTCCACTCCGGGTCGGCTTTTGCAGGTGTGTCACTACACCAGTGGTTCCATCATCTCGGCCATCAGCAATGGAATCGATTGGCATCCATCCAGCCTCTTCTGTTCAAGAATCTGTCCCGGGATCACTTCCAAAACAGCCTTCCCGGGACAGCACACTCTGTACCTTCCTTCCTTATCACCTTCCCCAGCATAAACCCTGTCGTGTTTCAATGGGTTGAGTGCACGTGCACACAGTAATAGTTCTGTCCGTTGGAGTCGGAGGGCATCGATCCCCCTACCTCCCGCACATCATCTGCGGCGCTCAGCATCGCATGCTAAGCGGGCGCTCTACCATTTGAGCTACGACCCCTGCACATCCTCACCACTCTGCGCTCGATGACGGGATCGAACCATCGACCTTACGGTTAACAGCCGTGCGCTGTACCGACTGAGCTAACCGAGCAGGTCTGGCAGATGGATGTACGACAGCACCAAGCATACGCCACATGCCAAGCATACGCCACATGCCGTACTGTACGAGTGCTACGGCTGAACCTGTGCACCGTGCCGTACGACAAAAGAACAGAAAAAATGCGATGCGATTAGGTTGATACAACCTACTGCATACCAAGGTGCAGGTAATGCGTCAGCAACCAGCTGCAAACAGGGCTCTATCGATGTATTGTTCGGGTCCGTGCCGTCAGTGCACACCAGCATAACACATAAGAAATGGGGACCTGCAATTCATTCATGCAAAAAATGTAATAATGTAGCTGGCCGCTCGTCGCTGGCCGCCGATTGGAATGCTGGAATAAAAAAATACCCTGTGTTCGTGCATGTATGCCTTGAGGGGGTAGTAGCCGGCCCAGGCCAAAAAGGCCTCTCGAGATGCGAGGAACATGTGCTCCAGTGCGTATTTATGTATGTTTTCGCGGGAAGCCTTCGTTGCAAAAAGGAAACATATGTAGCTGGCAAGCAATGAAAACAGGGCCGGGTGTGGGTGCACTCCCCCGAAGCGACAACTAGGGCCTGCAGACCAACTACTTCAGGGCGGTAGTACCCAAACACCCGAAGTAACCAGCACAACCACGCACACAAGTCCATGCAAATCGTACAGCGGCACTCCCAATTCACAGGAAACTTTACTTTTCTCGACGCTTCGCTTACAAAGCTAAAGATTGGGAAGAAGGGGGCAATAGCTTCATCCGTGGCCACCACTAGCCTGGCAGTGTTTACCTTCCCGGGTGTGTTTGGGTGCACCCTCATGCTCATGCTTCTGACCCATGCCGACTTCTGAAACGTCAGTGGCATTTTCGGGTCCAGCACGCACCATCAGCACATCCCGTGGAATCTGTGCCTGGAATCAACGGCGGCAGCAGCAAGTTTCCACTCCGGGTCGGCTTTTGCAGGTGTGTCACTACACCAGTGGTTCCATCATCTCGGCCATCAGCAATGGAATCGATTGGCATCCATCCAGCCTCTTCTGTTCAAGAATCTGTCCCGGGATCACTAGCCTTCCCGGGACAGCACACTCTGTACCTTCCTTCCTTATCACCTTCCCCAGCATAAAGCCTGTCGTGTTTCAATGGGTTGAGTGCACGTGCACACAGTAATAGTTCTGTCCGTTGGAGTCGGAGGGCATCGATCCCCCTACCTCCCGCACATCATCTGCGGCGCTCAGCATCGCATGCTAAGCGGGCGCTCTACCATTTGAACTACGACCCCTGCACATCCTCACCACTCTGCGCTCGATGACGGGATCGAACCGTCGACCTTACGGTTAACAGCCGTGCGCTCTACCGACTGAGCTAACCGAGCAGGTCTGGCAGATGGATGTACTACAGTACCAAGCATACGCCACATGCCGTACCGCGCTGCGCCGCGAAGGGGACCGTAGCTTCGACTCCCAGGGCAGCTGTGGGTGTGTGGTGTGTAAGGTGCTGTGTGGTGCATAGGTGAGAACGGTATTAATGTGGGGAAGCAGTGGCGTGGACTCAGTTACATTACATCTGTGACGGAGGGTGGCTTAGTAGCAAGCCACAGCCAGCAGTGTCGTAGCAGAAGGCATTCTCGAGGTTCACATCCGCCCTCCAACAGCAACGACCCATAACAGCAAGAGAGGCAGTTCCTCACTGCAGGCTGCCATGTAAGAAGTTGCACAATCACACAACAGCAGGCATGCGATAACTTTAATTCGAAGCCTGAGCATCAAATTGATTCGCAGATGTGAAAGAACACAAACATTTCTAGGTTTGCAGTCTCAGCGCGTGGTAACGATCTTGCGGACGTTCTCAAGGCTCGTAATGGTCAGATCCGTGCCCTGCAGCTTTACATGCAGATCTGCCGTGAAAGCCGCATTGACGGCTTCACAGGCGGAGGTGATGTCGTCCGGCGTGGTGTCGGCGAGTGGGGTGAATGAACGGGCTGCACTCGATTCCATCCAGTTCTGAGCCACGTTGGCGGTAGTGAGTCAGAGCCGTCACAGCAGCACCCGGCTGCTCCGGATTGTCATTGTGAAAAACCAGTAGGGTATCAGCTGCTGCTTCCAAGCTGTTGATGTTATCATGGTCATCCCGGAGCACAATGGCCATGAACAGGCCTGTGCTCAGGAATGTGTTCTCATACGTGGTCTCGAACGTTTCGTGAAACGTTCGGCACGATCGTGTCCTGCCAACTTGAAGGACGCCATGGCCATTGGTCAGGCTGGCTGTCGTACGGTTCGCCACGGAGATAAGGTTTCCGATGCCCTTGCATCGGTCCTCGTGGGCGGCTGCGGGGTCTCCACCACCAGCAGCTGCAGTGTCAAGGAAGTGGCGGCTGATCATGATCGTGCGGTTCAGCCATGTGACTTGGCTCTGCGACGTGGCCTTGGCGACATACTTGGTGGCATAGTGCGTGGTTCGGTGGGCCACAACCTCTGCTTGCACAAGGATGTCCTCCAGGACCTCGGGGTCACACATGGGGACCGGCAGTACAAGCTGTTCCTCCACTGTTGCGATGTACTGACGGTCGAGCTCGCAGGCCAGCGTGAAGACGTTGTTGCAGCCCAGCACCATTGTGACAGCGGGGCAATGGGGCACAATGTTGGGGCCGTATCGGGGCAGAACGAACAGGCCGCTGTCGCCCACCCACTTGAACTCACACCGGATGTGGCGTGGGTAGGCCATGCCGCAGTCTCCATCCACGCCTGCACAGCCGAAGCGTTTGCAGGTGTCGGTGTGTTTGTGGGTGCAGGACCCCACGACACCCGCCACAAGGTGCTGGGTGCAGCGTTCCAAGCACACTTTGGGTGTAAAGGTATCAGTGGCTTCACCCCCGGTCCCACACGGCTTGCCACGGGCGACAATGGCAAAGTCATACGCGGGTGCCGGCATGGATCCATCTGGCTGAGGCGCGCGGATGGCTGGGGGGCGGCCAGCGGACGCTGCGGGGGGGGCTGGCTGGACTCCATTGTCACCATTGCCAATGTCTTCATCTGTGCCCGAGGCGCTGCCAGGTTCTGCTTGAGTCAGGCCGTCATCCTCTTCTGCAGTAGCATCTGTCATGCTGTCATCACCAGAATTCGTTGCTGCCGTTGATGTTTCCATGGGCGTTGGTGCAACTGCCGTTGGTGTGGTGGGTGCAGCCATGACCAGGGGTGTCTGCCAGAAGACTCGTCGCTCTTTGTCCTGAATGTCGTAGTACGGCTCAGGCAGCCACATGCTGCAGAGGGCGTGTGCCAGCGCCAGAGTGCGGCAGTTGGGCCCCTCAAACAGGGCCCGCATTTTGTCCACGGTATCGCTGCCAGGTGCACCATGCCGTGCAAGTGCAGGGCGAGGCGTCCACTCTGCTCCACCTTGATGCAGATGTGGAACACGGTGCCACAGAAGCAGTCGGGGTTGCTCTGCCGCTTGTCGCCAGGTTTGAAACCAAAAAGGATGTCCATGAAGGCGAGCTTAACCGCGTTGAGGAGTGCTTGGCTGGTGTAGGGGTTGTTTTGCACCCGCCGCCACTTGTCCATGACACGCTCCTCCCGCAACGGAGCACCATCCTCGCCAAATTCCAAAAATTGCCCAGTGGCCACGACTGCAGCCGCACTGTGCAAGTCGGCGGGGTTGACGTTAAACATGAGGAGTGGCAGCCCGGTTGCGGCGGCTACACCACGTAGATTGGCGTGCATGTTGCAGTAATAGGCATCTGTCATGTCGATGCGTGCGACCGTTCACCGAAGAGAGGTGACGAGGGCATGCATGAGAGGTGACGTGTCTTGGAGCAAGCGGCGATGATCCGGGTGCATCTTCGGCAAGGCCAGGATGTCCACCATCGCTTTGACAGCCTCTCGCGGGATGGCACCCACTGCATCGATGTCTTGCTGGCAGCTCTTCACTCTGTTCAGACGGTGATGTTCTCCGGCAACGATGCAGCAGAGCGTGGGATGGCGTCCACCCACTGATCGAGTGATGGGTTCGCCACGGCTATCCCGTGCATTGTGACGGTGATGGGCTGCAAGTCAGACGGCCGGTTCTTGACCTTGAGCCTGTAGATCTGCTGCTGCACATGCCCCAGCCCCAGTATGTTGGCTTCCAGCACGGTAGGCCACTCCAGACGCTGCCCGTCCTGATTGATTTCTGGCACGTCTCCACCATCATAGCGTGCGAGAGCAGCCTCCGGGATGCGTCCGCCTGGATGCGGAGGCAGCAGCCACAGGCAGGGCAGACCAGTCAGAATAACCAGTGCGGTTGTGTGCGTGCATGCATGAACACCCAGCACACATGATCCGCAACGAAAGCACTGCATGCAAATTCTCATGTTAGTGTTTAGTGCTTACATTCCAAGGCATGAATGCAGTCGTTGCACATCATGATGATGTCGTCGCCAGCCCCGTTGGTGTGCACCGTACAATTCTCCCCAGAGCGCTCCACACGCATGCAGTACGGCACTAGCCACACACCCGGAGCAGTGGGATCCGGCCGTGGCTCCATGCCAGGTCGTGGCGGCCACGAAGGGAGCATCCATTCCTCATGCTGGTCATCCACGTCTTGTGGCCGTGTCGCATCCACTCCTGCTTCTTCATCGGAAAGAATAGACTCCTGCTTGTCGTCAACACCATCTGTCTCACGCCGACATCACTGTGGCAGACTAGATGGGCCCGCCTCATGCGGTGGAAAGTCTTCCGGGAAGAGCCATATGCTCCAGTGTTGCCCAAATGGTCCCGCGCCTGTTGCAACGAACTGTGCTGCTGGGTGGGCTGGCGGTGCTCTTGGTCATCCGAACCACCAGAGTCCCCTGTCGTACCAGGACGCTTGGTGAGCCCCGTCTTCTCCGTAGAATGCCCATTGAGCCACATCTTTCGGAAGCCCCACGGCAAAGCTGGCTCGGGCGGTGGTGGTGCTCTGGCGGCTGTCACTGGTAGCCATGCGACGACTTGAGCTGGACGCGCCACTGCCAGCGTCCTCCAAACATCTGCACGCAACTGGTGCACGTTGGGGATGTCACCAAACCGGTAGCCGTGTGCCTGTACCGCGGACTTCATCTCGCTGCAGCAGGTGCAGACACAGGATGGCATGTTGTTTTTGACAGTGGCATCAAGCTGTTCGGCGACTCGGATCTGTAC